TATATATATATATATATACGTCTTTGCCTTTATTATGTCTTTGCTTAAAATATTTTTGTGGTCCCCAACATAAATTAGAAATTCCAATAAGAACAATAAGGACACTAGAGAGTCTCCCGGTGTCTGCTGTATGCGAGGCAACAGCACACATTCCTGCATTAACCCCTGCCTGCCAGGAGCAGCACTGTGCGGGGCAGAGCAGGCAGGACCATGGCTGGGAGCTTGGCTCGGGCACCCCATAGCCCTGGTTTGAATCCCGCATCTGCTGTTTTCCACTTGGTGTGATCTTGGCAAGTCACTTGCTGTCTTTGTGCTGCTTTGGTGCTTCTATGTGCAAACTGGGGAAACAGCCAAACCTTCCCAAGTTGCTGTGAGGATGAAGTGGGTTGATCTGTGGGCTTGACACAGTGTGAATACCAATCAAGTATGGTCATGAAGGTACCAATGAATGGCACTTGCCGGTGAAGGTAAGCATCATTATTGTCATCCTGAGATACGCCAGAAGGTGGCTGCTGTTAGATCTAAACCTGTGCTCTGCACTATGCCATGATCTTTGCATGAGAAGTTATTTTTGTGAGACTCTCGGCTTGTTAAATTCAATAAAACCAGTGTAATCAATTCTAGTTCCGGTATTTTGAAGCTAGATTTCCTGGCTTTGAATCCTAGCTCTATCACTTACTGTGAGACCTCAAAAAGCTGAATATCTCTCAGTTTCCTCCTCTGCAAGGTGGGAATTATGATAATATTAACACCTATCACATGGGATTATTGTAAAGATAAATGAACGAATGTATGAAAAGCCCATTTACACATTACGAATGCTCAATACATTTTGGCTATTAGTAGTAGTAGTAGTAGTAGTAGTATTTGAGACAGAGTTTCGCTCTTGTCGCCCAGGCTGGAGTGCAGTGGCACGATCTTGGTTCACTGCAACATCTGCCTCCCGGGTTCAAGCAATTCCCTTGCCTTAGCTTCCCAAGTAGCTGGGACTACAGGCGCCCACCACCACGCCCAGCTTTTGGCTATTATTTTTTTGACTCTTTTCTTTAGACCGTTCTCCTTTGTCTGCCTTTTTGCTAGGGATAATCATTAAGGTCAAGGATACATTAATCCACTTTCTAGAACATAAGCTCGAGGCTGGAGGGGAACTGTCCCACATATGATGGAAGCAGGAGATGTTCAACAAATCAAAACAATGTTTTCAATCTGTTTATTACCTCTTCCAGAAATAACAAACATGTCATTAAAAAAAATCCTTGTTCAACAATGCTTAGGAATGTCAAGAAACTGCTTGGCTCTTCGAGAAGAGACTGAGCACTGCAAAAATATTTGCTCAGCCTTCATTGGTGAGAGCATCAGAATCCTCAGTCATCACCACACGGGCAATCCCAGCCCAAGAAAGGCCCGTATGGCCCCGACCATGGTTGGTTCTGGACAGTGCGCCAGGGGCTGGGGAACTTAGGCCCTCTCTGTGCATCTTTGGTTCCTATACATAATACAGAATATGGGAAAATAAAGAAGACTTTTTTGCATTATATTTAGTTCCGTGTGTATGATAATGTCCACATTTTAATTTGTAATTAAAAGGCCAGGATAAAGAACATAGAATTAATATTACAAATATTTTCTCCAGTTAAGGAAAATATATTCATTGTTAGAGTGAAAAGTTTAACAATTTAAAATAAGAATCTCGATCCTGTGAAATCTATTTGTGCTTTGCTTTGCTTAACTGAAATACAACTAATAGCATTTGTAAGCCTAACAAAGTATCACGTGGAGTTAATCAAGAGAGTACCTTCTAGAAACTTAGAATAGAACCATAAGCAGACAGTTATGGTACAGCTTCAATGTTGTACTAAATAAGTTTTTCTTAATGGTGACAATTGTAATTGCTTTGTCAAAAACAGACAACAACAAAATAAAACACACTAATAAAACATCTAAGGATCGTTATTGGAACATACCTTCCCTTGCTGTGTACTCATTATCTTCAATTACTCTAGCAAGGCCAAAATCTGCGATTTTGCACATGAGTGACTCAGAGACCAGGACGTTAGCCGCTCGAAGGTCCCGGTGAATGTAATTCTTCCGCTCGATGTACGCCATTCCCTCTGCAATCTGGAAACAGAAACAGATTCTCATTTTCATAGGTAGGATAGGTGATAAAAAAAGCCATCAAGGAAAATCAGAAAAATTATGAGTTCCTCAAATCTTTTCATGTATACTATTTTGATTACTCAGGTTTTAAAAATGGCAATTTAAAACCTGAATGATCAAAATATCATTGGTGATTGCCTGGTAATGGCAATCACCATTTAAGCTCTTTCTTTTTTTTTTCAGGAAAATTACTAGAATTTTTTTTTTAAAATACTGACCACATGATATCTTGTGTGTGTGTGTGTGTGTGTGTGTGTGTGTGTGTGTAAGTCATTCAGACACTACATGAAAATCTGGCAATTGTCGATTGAACAGATCGATGGAAAGGAAAACCAAGATCAGTTAAGACCCTAAGTGAACTTTTTGCCTTAATTTTAAGTAAATCTGTTTGCCTAACAAAACAATATGAAAGTTCTTTGTACTTCTATTCAAAAGTAGGGAGTCTAAATAGGCCTATCACAAGTAAATAAATTTCATTAGTAATCCAAATCTTCCAACATAAAGAAGCCTAACTGATCACACCCTCCCCACCAAATCTCCAATAATGGTAATCTTTAAAAAAAAAAAAATTAGCAACATGTCCTAACATTTTTTAATGTGCGAAGAATCTTTTAAAGACCCTGCTAGGCCGGGCGCGGTGGCTCAAGCCTGTAATCCCAGCACTTTGGGAGGCCGAGGTGGGTGGATCACGAGGTCAAAAGATCGAGACCATCCTGGTCAACATGGTGAAACCCCGTCTCTACTAAAAATACAAAAAATTAGCTGGGCATGGTGGTGCGTGCCTGTAATCCCAGCTACTCAGGAGGCTGAGGCAGGAGAATTGCCTGAACCCAGGAGGCGGAGGTTGCGGTGAGCCGAGATCGCGCCATTGCACTCCAGCCTGGGTAACAAGAGCGAAACTCCGTCTCAAAAAAAAAAAAAAAAAAAAAAAAAAAAAAAAAAAAAAAAACACAAAAAAAAAAAAAAAAAAAAAAAAAAAAAAAAAGACCCTACTAAATTCATCCGTGTAGATATAGATGTCATTATGCCAGTTTTTCAAATCAGAAAACAGATGCTATGGTCTGAATGTTTGTGTTCCATTCCCTTGCCCACCTACCCCAAAGTTCAGATGTTGCAATCCTGACCCCCAAGGCAATAGCATTAGGAGGCAGGGCTTTGGCAGGTGATTAGATCATGAGGGTGGGGCCCTCACAAATGGGATAAGTGCCCTTGTGAAAGAGAGGTCAGAGAACTGCCTTGCTCCTTCCACCATGTGAGGACACAGCTATATGGTGCCATCTATGAACCAGGAAACGGTCCCTCATCAGACAGGAAACCTACCAGGGCTTTCCTCACCCCCCAGAACCGTGGGAAATAAATATCTGTTGTTTAAGCCACCCAGTCTATGGAATTTTGTTATGGCAGCCTGAACCAACTATGAAAATAGAGTTGGAGAAAGTGACATGCTAATATAAATGTATTATTGAGGTATCAAGAACAGAGTGTCCTTTCTGTCAGGTTAATCGACAGCCCATAAAACTGGTTCTCCGAGTTCTCTCTGTACATTTCCTCCAGGATGATCACAAAGATTCACTCTTTTTTTTTTTTTTTGGGACAGTCTCACTTGTGTCCCCCATGCTAGAGTACAGTAGTGCAATCTCAGCTCACTGCAACCTCCTGCCTTCTGGGTTCAAGTGATTCTCGTGCCCCAGCCTCTCGAGTAGCTGGAATTACTGGTGCTTGCCACCATGCTTGGCTAATTTTTGTATTTTTTAATAGAGACGGGATTTCACCAGGCTGGTCTCAAACTCCTGGCCTCGGGTGATCCACCCACTTAAGCCTCCCAAAGTGCTGAAATTACAGGCATGAGCCACCACGCCTGGCAAGATTCACTCTCGTGACTTCCACTTGGAACCTCCACCTTCCGGGTTCAGGCGGAAGTATGACAGCAGGAAAGAATCCAGGATTTAAACACAACAATAACACAGGGAGGCAAAACAACTACTTGTTGCTGAATAGAAAGTG